CCTTCCCACTTTATACAAACTAGGGAAGACTTATATTAAATAAGATCTAAAACCATACAAATACAGTTTAAATAGTGCATCAAAAAGGAGATAAAAGTTGATCCCGTGTTACAATTATTCATGCTCCAAAAACTAGCTGAAAAAGCTAGGTTTGTACAACTCTCCTATAATTATCAGTGTTTGAACCCAAATGTGTATTGAAAATATTGAAATAACCTTATTTTGGGAAGTAACAGGAGACACTAGAAAGATGTATAGGCACTAGAATGTGAAAGCGTTTAGGACAGTAATTGGGAATTAACTGGTGATAGATCCACCTTTCAACTTCTTAATTTCTTCCAGAATGACAAGTGATGATGGGATGGAGATTAAGAATTAGAAATGTCATCACCCGTTCCTCCTATATGGAAAAAAATAACTCTGTACAGAATTGGGGGGGGGGGCATTGCACTCTGCTTTACCTTGCATGAAGTGGTCATCGAGCACATGGTCTGTTCAATAGGAGAAAACATAAATCAGACAATAAAATACAGGGGCAATAACAATATTCCTTTGAGAAAGAAAAGGGGACCTTGCCTGGACTCTCTTCATCTCTGATCTAGAGATTATATCTATATTTATATTAATATTCCACATCTAGGAATTTAGGAGAATTCCCTTGACTGATAAAGAATTATGGCTGTATATTAATGAGTTCATCCAATGCCTAAAATGCTATTGAAATGGTTTTATTTTCAATTTCAATTTTGCATGGTTGATTTATATTACTGTGTTTTGCTATTAGGGGAAATACATAAAAAAGATATATGTTTTATAGTTGAAAAACAAAGAAATGGGAAATACGAGGTTATAAAGCTCATTATTTTCACAGATAATGATCTTTACCTTATTTTACTGCTAAATAGATTTACCTTCTCATCTAAAAAGGATGCTCGTTTTGGCTACCACATAAAAAGTGAAATAGCAATAATCAATAATAATCAAGAACACAATTAAAGACATAATGAAAATGTAAATTTAAGACAATAAAACCCATAATTATTTTTTTAAAAAATAACAAAAGCAATGAGGTACATATTTTCATCCCTTTACAAATGATAAGACACATTCCCTGTACTTTTAATGTTTGTGACACAAACTGTCCCTGATAACTTTTTAATGCCATGTCCTCCTCTCCTTCACCTCATTCCCAACCTGTAGTCATGGATGGAATATGTCCAACTCATATTAGCTATTCTGGATTGCTGTAGAGTGTAGACATGTTTCTGCCTTCTGGTTTCTGGAATTCTAGTTTAATGATGATGATATTTATCTCTTGCAGAAGGTGTGCCTATGACATGGTGTCCAGTATTTTCCAAAGCATTCATCAGATCTTACATGAGCATCTTATAATGTTCTATTTAATACTATTATAAAAGAACAATATGTACCATTAATTATATTTATTGTGAAACATTGTAGAACATAATTTCTTGAACATGCACACTTAAATAATATGCCAAAATTACCTGAGACTTTCAAGTGAAGAAACAAAAGACACATGCTAATCCATAATGTGACTAGGGTTTTTATTTGCAAGCCAAAATAGCTTCATACAGTGTGTAAGATAGCCAATTATTCCTTATTTAACCAACCACAATTAAACAAACTATTAGAATATAATATGCGAGCACCACACTCCAGTGACCTTAATACTATTTTAGAGATAGACAATGGAAGAGCTATTGTTTAGGCACTGCAATCCTTATAAATATGGAGCATGAGAGGTTCATTTCTGTAATATGGGTTAGGTAGCAAATCTCACAGCTGAAACAGTGCCAAGGACATAATTTAACAAGAACTTGGAAGACAGTTACACTTGAAAAAGAGAGATGATAATTAACTTACACCACTAAGAGTGTCAGTCAAGGATGTGAAAAATGTTATCTGAAAGTGGACCTACTTCTTTTTTTTAAAAAAAGTTAGCAAGGGGGCTTACATGATACTTAGGCATCTCCAGGAAAAATTGGATGAATTCACAAATGTTTTGAAGATGTTCCTTATCACATAGCCTCCTCGAAACTGTTCTAAAGAGCAATGGGGCACCCTTTGATACTAGAGCAAATACAACCAGGAACAAGAAATTCTTCTACAATATATTTTCAAGTTCATTATTTGGAAAATTGAATTCTAAAATTTACAAGATAATAAAGACACATCAGTTTTATGCTGCAGGTTGTACTAATATTAATCTTTATTTTCTGGCTCAAAAAAATCACAGAAATTAAATATCTCAATGGCTACATAGGCATAGCTCCATTTGTGTGTGCATGTGCATATGAGTGCTTGTGCAAAACATATATACATGAAAAAAGTTGAAAATCATTTTTTCTTTTTACTCCAATGCATTCAACACGCCCAGTTTTTATCTTAGTAAAAATTGTTTATCCTATCACGAACAGCTGAGTTTTAATACCAGCTTATAACCTGCCAATATATTTACATTTTGTGAGCTTAATGTGATAAATGTTTAATTAATCTTGTTTTAGTGCTGCAAAAATTGATTTAATACCAAACTTACAAGATCTGAAAACATCTATAACTGTGCGTGTATGTGTGTGTATGCATGTGTATGTGTCTTTGTATCTGTCCAAACAGAGACATGTTATGTAGAATAGGGCAATGAAAAGTAACACAACGAAAAAGTAACAACATGTTGTGTTATTTTAAGTAACACTACAAAAGTTAGTGGAAGTTAGTAGACAAAGTGAAATTGTACTAATTTATGATGGACATGTTAGCTATTGAATTCAGAAAGTTATTTAAATCAACATGTATCAGTAATAAGAAGGTAGAGAGGGAGAAGGAAAAGTCAAGAATAGAGTTTGTTGAGAAGCCCTGCACTGAGAATCAGGATCATGCAAGGCTTGAAGCTACAATGGCTGGAGTAGTGTTGTTCCTTGAAGACTGGAGAGACTGTATTAGACTGGGGCATTGTGAGAGCTGTTAAACCTGCGGTGACAGATGGCTGTGGTCAGTATGTGAGTTTGCTTGTTTAAAAGAAGATTGACTCAAGTCAGAGTTAGAGTAGGGTTAGTGAATGGACTTCAGTTGTAGAAAGAGGTCTACTGCAGTCTACTGCAGCTGATCAGGTTAGGCTGCTTTGCTTGTGGCTTAATAGTTCAGTTTAGGCAACAAAGGCAGGGTTGTGTTGTGCTTTCCATGTTTCCCAAGCCCTGCAGCTCCCATAACAAAATAGCATTTTTTTTGACAATCTGCCTTTATGTAAATCACTGCTCCATGAACTGTTTCCTTGTAACATCAAGCAGGACTCCGCTTAGAAAAATCTGTAAGACCCATATAGCCTGTTCCTGTAAAATTTGTTCTTTATAAGAAACATTGGGACTTAGACAGAGAAGACAGAACTGTTCATATTACTATGGATTCGGAAAAAGTCTTAGAGTCCTCACCACTAGGATGATGGGCTTTTCCCAAACCATCACAGTCCAGTCTCAAGAGAACATCTCAACACTGGACTCGGTTTTTGTCTCAGAACAGATGCAATATGATTTGAGATTGGAGCACATTAACATCTGTTTTTTCTCCCAGTTAGATCACTCTCTATACAGCTGACCAGTGCTAACAATCCCGCAGGGGTGATGGACCTATTCATTTCTTCGTAATATATCCTCTTGGTTTCCTGAATTTACTGGCCTACAACTAAGGTACAAGTATGATCACAACTTCTGGCAAGTAAAACCGGCCTCTAGCAATCAGCAAAATGATTTTTTTAAAACAACAAAAAAAAGTCATCTGATTGAGCTGAAAACTGGCCTACTCATTCTTCACTTGGTTATAATGGCTGCCCAATATTGTCAGACATTGTTCATGCCTGCAGGTCTCTTTCTGATAGATATAAAGATAGATGATCCAAGGACCATATACATTTTTCTACTGAAGACTGACAGGACAACTGCAGGATATACAAACATTGATGGTGCTGCTGGTACATCTTCTCACAAACATTCCACAATAAGATAGCAGTTCAATTCTGGGGCACAGTTGTCTCATCCTCTCCTAGTTGTCCATCCCCCTCGCATGGGGCCTATAGCTATAGCAATGTCTCATTTCCTTACGCATTTTCTCTGATAGGAAATCATACATCAGCCCCACCAGTTTCAGTTCAAAATAAAAGAACAAAGCATGTTGTGCATATATTCCTATGGAGTATGTTTAGCCACAATTCTCTAGATAGAGGTGTTTTGGGTTTTAAATTGGATTCTTACCCATTTTTAAGGACATAATGAATGCATAAAGTACATCAGTAAGGGAAAGCCACGGTTCCTAGACCACAGAACAGCAGTGGGAAATAAGTAGCCAGCTTTAATGAATAGAAAATAAGTGCAACTGTATCATGCTTGTGTGGGGCTGTCATGTATGTAACCAGTCAACTCAACAGGTCAAAGAAAAAGGAAGGAGGGGAAAAAAAAGAGATTTTGAAAAACCGATTCTTCAAGCAAATCCTGAGCAAGTGGATGAACTAGTATCAGGGTGCTGTGACAAGGGAATCAGATGCAAAGCCCAATTTTCTAGCCAGTCAGAGGCACCATACCATTCCATCACACAGAGCAGTTTGCCCAACGCACTCCCCAACTACTTGACCAATGTTCTGGTAGAAGGTACAGAAGATCCATCAGAAAACTCTGGCAGCTTTCCTACAGTATTCCGAGTCTCCCACCACCAAAGGCCGATGTTAAAATACGGGTGGGGGCTTGCGGCTATGTCATTTGGTTGGGACCAGTTGCTGGTATGTCGCTGCTCAGGTGAGAAGGCTTTGAGTAAAGGCAACCATCCGTTTGGAAAGGCGACGTCTAAACATCCATAAAGGCCACCACGGTGGTTGCGTTATTTGAGGGGGCTCCTGCATTTGCCCCAAGCGGCTGGGCTCCAAAAAGAAACGGCAGAGCTCCGCCTCTCCTCCTCCGGTATTAACGCGGCACGCAGAGGGTTAGGAGGCTGGCTGACAACCTTTCCGTCTGCGCTTGCACACACGTGCCTACACAGGCACGCACGTTAGAGCGGCTCAAACAGAGAAGGCTCCGCTGGTATTCCGGGGCACGCATAACGGAGCGCACGCTGCCGCTGTCGCGATCGAAGCGGTTTCCACATGGATGCGGATTAAGCAGCATCCTCTGCCGACGCCTCTTCTGCTGCCTCTTTCTCTCTCTCTCTCGCATCTCTATCCGCCCCCCCTTCAGCGTGCTGCTCGGCTCCGCTTGACCGACCGCCCCGGGTGCTTCTCCCAGGGTAAGGGGGTGGGGAGAATCCGGGGTGAGGGGACGGACGGACATGGGCTGCTCGGCTGACTACACTCCGAGGAGGAGAAGGCGAAGCTGCCAAGTGGCACGTCGCGCGCAGCCCCTCTCGGTACAAAGGGCTGCTGCCTGCTTTCCCTCGGCTTTCTGAGGCGGAGGCGGCCGCTGTTATCACCGCACCGCTGCGGTATTTGGCCGGTTCTAGATTTGCTGAGAGCGAGAAGAGAGGCTTGCCCCCACCCCCATCCCGGTTCTTCAGCCCTTCGGTTCCTTTCCACATTCCTGATGGTATCCGATTGGCGCTGGCTGGAAAAAAAAAAAAAAAAGCCCAGGGCGCCTGGAAGGTGAATATCTGTTTTCTTTCTTTCTTTCCTTTTTTTAAAAAAATGAGAGTGGGGGGTTTGGGGAGCGGTGAGGGGTGGGTGTGTATGGCAAGACCGAACGAGGGAGAGAGAGACCGGCGCTCGCTCTCTCTCTCTGGGCAGGGAAAGGCGCGCGCAAAAGCTTCCCTCGAGCCTTTCTTCTGCACTAATTTCGGCGGCGTCCTCCTTCCAAAGGTGGGTGCTCCGTTGCCTCTCGCAGGCGTCGTGGGGAGTATAGTAATGGAGTTCTTACAAGTGTCTGCGCTGACAAATATTGCACGGCCGAAGGCAGAGGAGCAGCAGCAGCCTTCGCCGCCAGCGTTTCCCATTCCCCTCGCTGGTTCTGCTCCCTGTGGTTGGCTAATGGCTTATATTTCTCTCAGAAACGTAACGGGTATCTCAGGCTAAGCGGCGTCCCTCTCTAGTCGCTGGCTGGCTGGGTGACTCTGCGCGCGCTTGCGCCAGGCTTTCGAGTGGATTCAAACGCCGGAAGCCTCCCGGGAGCCTCGAACCTTAGGAGGTTAAGGGAGAGGGAGTCGGTAAACTCGGGCGCCTGTTCCAACGGTGGGGAGGTGGGGGCATTGGCCTGTCATTCGGATGCTCTGTTGGTATCCTAGTAGCGGTTCCCCTTTGTGGTGCCCCCCCTTCCACGCCACTCATTGGAAATGTCAAAGCCTGACAGGATTCATCCTGTGTTAAACGAATAGCGTTAAATAAGTAGCTTGAATGCAAGCAATGACCCCTGAGTAGGACTTGTGGGGGCGATAACAATTGTACTTTCGCCTAGTAGAAATGCAGCCGCTGGAGAACCTTTTAAGAGGCAGAAATGAGAGCCAAAGCTACTGGCCCCAGGGCAACTGCATTGCTCTTTGACGATGATGATGATGATGATGATGATGATGATGATGGAGGCTCTGTTTTTGAGGAAGGATGCTCAAGAGAACTGGGCAGGATGCTTCTCTATTTCTCTTTCTTTTCTCATCCTTTTGGTTTTCACTCTATTCGCCCTGTTTAAGAACAGTATTATTGTTTAACCAAATATTTAAGTTTCTTACAGTTATATTTAAAATGTAAAGTTATATGAAACGGGATAGGATTGATTGTGCATATCAATGCGTTGTGTGATATCTTCATCGTCACCAACACCAATGGCGAGCAGTATGCAATAGGGATATCTTTTGTGGGGTGAAGTGAAGTCAGATATTAAGTTGCCCAAGAGGTTCACTCTTGGAAATAAAGCACAATGCTGTCAAGATACACAAAGGAGGGAAGAAGATTATGAATATGGCTTAATGCTCTCTATGAGCACAATTATTAACAATAATACTTGTAATAAGGAGGATCTGAAGGTAGGCTGGAACAACATATATGTTTGCTAACAGAACAAATTCAATTTTTGCTAATAGGACATAATAAAATGTTACTTACTGGTGATTTAAATGTTTTTATCAGAAGCAATATGCAGACGATCAGAATATGCCCCATGGTATATTTTTATGTGAAAACTGCCAATATACAACTTGTATTGATTTATTTATAGATGAATACAATTAGATGTTAGATGTGCATATTTTAATATTAGAATAAGAAATGAGCAATCATTCTCATGTCTAAGTAAAATAAATAATTTACTGGCCTGGAAAGATATAAAAATTCTGTATGGTGATATATGCCATTATGACAGGAGTTCAGCTAAGGAGAGACACAGAAAATGTTTTATTACATTATTATTCAGATAAGGATGATATGTACTACCGATGAACAGTAAACAAAATTATCTTAATTTACATATTATTTCCTTGGAATAATTGTTATCTTTATTAAACCTTATCACAAGATTAAATCAATGTTATTTACATTTAGATATTAATGAGAACTCAGGAATAGCTGATCAACCTTGTAGAAGGCATATTTATTAAAGGGCACAGATATTAATGACAATTGAAATAAAGGTTTTCTCCGGTAAAACATGTTTTTATACCAAAATGTTAAAATCTATGATTGAAAAACCAGTCATATAAGCTATCAAAAAGTAAATCTAAATCAAGTTCATGCACTATTCATTGAATACTTAATAGTTTTTTTTATTGTCCTTCCTTCTCTAGTACCTTAGTATTATCCTTAATTACTTTTAAAATACAAAATCATTAAAGCAAATAGTATCTTTTTATTCATAAACGCTTTAATCATTTTAATCATTATATGAACTTTTATAACGATTAAAGAAAATTGAGCTACTTGCCTAATCTGTTATCATACCAAACCTTGTGTGACATCTATGCATGTGAATTATAAGTACTTTATAAAATATTTTAAAATGTAATAGATAGATCTGATAACAGAGGCTGACCACAGTGTTATTTTAAGTATTTTATAGGTATCATAAAAGATTCAGGCATTCTTTATGATATTGAAATATAGCAAAATTGAGCAATCATCATCATCATTGCATTATGTATTAGTATCGTTATTTGGTAGAAAAAAATCAAACACATTAAATACTTGCAAAAAGTTCTACATTTGGTAAAAAAAGTTGAATGTTAATATATTGAAGATTATCTTTGCATAAGATAGAAGGCAAAATAAGATATATTAGATTTACCTGAAAGAGCATACCATTCTGCCTACAAAATTCTCTTCATGTTGATTAACTAAGGCAAACATTGCTAAAGTTAACAAAAACTTTACCCATAATTCTGCTTTCTCAGAAAAAAAAGTCTTCTGTTCATCCTGGCAGTAAATTCAGGTATAATTGAGATTATTTAAAAATTATCTCAGAAGATCCTATTCCATAGAGAGAACAGATAATGAAGACAACCTTGATTGCACATTGCATTAATTCTTTTTAATAACAGTGGCTTGGAGAAAGCATTTTCTTCATCATAGCTTTAAATATAGAAATTTAAATCAAGATGCAAATCAAGATGTAAAACAGTAAACCCATGTTATTGTTTGAAGCTACTTGGATATCTTTCAACAGAAAGACTTATAAAAGGGAACATTCCTCTAGTTGTAATAAGTAGGCAATTATCTCTTGATTATTGACTGGGTTCAAATATAGTATTAAGATATGAATTGGGTTATTTTAATTGTCATTTGCTGAATGCATCACAATGATCTGTCTAACTCTAGATTTGGATACTATAGTATAAGATTTATAAACCATAATATTTACATATCTGCTAAGCCATTTTGACATGGGATATTATATAAATTAACTATTGTTTTATAGCATCTGGAAGAAGAAACTTGGAGTTGTTTAGTTCATAAATTGCTGTTGCTTTCTTTAGTGACCTGTTCAGAATAGTAGGATGTGTGAGAGAATGTGGTGATTACAATAGATAGCATTAGCTCAAGAGGAGGATGATAAATATTGTGTGAGTTGTACTTTTAATGTACAATTCTTAAGAAGTCAACAGATTTCTGGGTTATTCTAAGAATCATAAAGTACAATTCCTATATTTTAACTAGCTACGTTTAACAGTCCTTCCAGCTGGAATTTCAAAAAAAGTTCTCCACACTGTAGAACGGGGGTGGAGTGGGAAGGAGTAAACTGTACGTATAACAAAATACTTTATCTGTGAGACTTTGGAGTTATAATTCATATAAATCCTAGTGAAACAACCAGTGGGCAAGGATGAAGCAGGTTTAGTATAGGAGGATATCATATACTCTATCCCTGGTATATGAAATATGCAGTTTATTACATACTCCACCAATGCTTAACTATTGATATCTTAAATATTTTTCCAGATTTGATATACAATAATTTGTTATAAGATACAATATTTGAAGTTTTAATCATATACAGAATGAATGCCATTGAACATAATAGAATAGACTTTATGAATGAAAATTAATACTTTTGTATTGCAAGTAGATAAGGCTGCAATCATATTCATGCTCATATAGAAACAACTCTTATCATCTATGCAGGGAAACTTAATGGCAGTGGATTGGGCCCAGGGCATTGCTGCCTAAGTGATACAGCTCTTGAGCACTCCTTAAGGAGCATAGCAATGAAGGGAAACCAAATTATTTGGGCAAGATAAATATATTCTCACATGTGTGTTTACCTTTTTTGATGGTAAAGATAAAAAACAAAAAACAGTTGTGTGCTCTTCAGAACATCCAACCCCAATAGCAATAGGAATCAATAACTTTTAAAAGTTTGGGTTTTTTCCTTTTTTATAATGATCAAGTAACTTATTTCTGCATATTCTTGCTATGGAGTTGGGTATATGTCTCTGTAATATGATTGATAAAGGGGAATGTCAACAATGAACTTTCAAATTTTTGTTTTCCATTGCAGTTAATCGTTTTGTTATGCACAAGTAACTGTACACACACACACAGACACCTATTGTAGTTCTGGATCAGGATGAAGGGAATTGAATTAAAGTCTAATACATATTGAAGTATCTTCCTTCCATGTACATAAACTATAAGCAGAATCACATTTAAACCAATGATCTATAGGGAATCTTCAATGACAATAATTGGAACCAGCATTTCCCTTGCTAAGCAATGTGGTTGTAAAGCCCAATCACATTGTTTAGTGATGGCAATCTCTACAGTTCCAAGTTGCTGTTGTTAACTGAGTTCCACAGTCATTAAGCAAGGTAAGTTCTTGGTAGCTTTCCATAACTAAAGTCAGTGGGGAAACTAGAGGAAGTTGCAAATCCCAACCTGGCAGGCAGATAAATGGTTGCTCCTGGGTTGGGGAAAGAGAGTGGCTGCATGGGGGTACAGGGGAAGGTGTGCAAGGGTGAAGGAATGTGTGGGGGAGAGGGCTATAAGTTCCAAAGATGTGCAGAAGTATAGTGAATGTTGGGAAAGGTGTGGAAGGGTACAGCGTGGGTGTGGAAGGGATGTGGGTATGTAGGAAGTGCTGTGCGTGTTGGGAAGGTTGCATGCGAGTGCACAAGTGGCTAGCACAATATGAATGTACAATAAAGTGGGAGGGTGATTGGGTGAAGGAA